GGCACCGGGGCACGACGGGATTACCAACGCTGCGCTTCGACAGCTGCGCAATAGGACATTAGTAGAGATAGGATAGCTCTACAATGGAATATTGCGGACATCCCACTTCCCGGAGGAATAGAAGATCGGCAAGGTTATCGTGTTGCCGAAACCCGGGAAGGATAGGCGTAGAGCTGCCAGCTACAGGCCGATTACGCTACTGCCGCACATAGCTAAACTGCTTGAAAGGATTATGCTAAGACGCCTCCGCCCGTGCATACAACTTCGGGCGGAGCAGCATGGATTCAGGAGGGAGCACTCAACAGCAACGCAGCTGATCAGAGTGCTGCACTACCTTGCGGTCGAGCACAACCGAGGCCGCACATCGTTGGGCGTCCATCTCGACATAAAGAAGGCGTTCGATAGAGTGTGGCACTCTGGATTACTCTACAAATTAGAAGAACAGACTAGTATCCCTCCTGCTATGTTGCGGCTAGTAGCCTCATTCCTGGCTGACAGGAAGTTCTACGTCTGTGTAGAGGACGCCATGTCCGCAACGAAACCCATCAGAGCCGGCGTACCACAGGGCAGCTGTCTGTCACAATTCCTGTACACCAACGACACCCCAACACTGGAAGGACATTTGAGCGAATGGGAGGACGACGTGGAGCTGGCGTTATACGCGGACGACAGCGCCTACTTCACCTCGTCGAGAAGACCTCATATCTGCATCCTGGCAGGATGCAGAGGCTGTTGGACTTGCTGCCAGCATGGCTGGATGAGTGGAGGATGGCCGTCAATGTTGGTAAGACGACCGCTCTGCTCACTCGCTGCTTCAGAAACCTACCACTGCCACTGACGCTCAGAGGCCAGGACATCGCATACCAAAAGCCCGTGACGTATCTTGGTTGCCGGATGGACAGAATGCTGCGCATGACCGCGCACGTCAATCTCGTCGTCCGTAACGCAAGAGGTGCGCGGGCGGCGCTGCGTCCCATACTGGCATCCAAGTTACCTATCAAAACGAAGCTGAAACTCTACAAGTTATACATAAGACCCGTATTAACCTACGCTGCTCCAGCCTGGTATGCGCTCCTGAGCGACCAGCAGAAGCGACGACTGCAGACCCAACAGAACCTAACACTACGGACCATTGACGGTGCGCCCCGGACGGGCGACTATTACCAAGAGAACTCCTCCCTACATAGATAAGGGAGTTGAGTAAAACCCACAATGCCACAGATAGGCTAACTTAGACGCCTAGGTCGAATCAGTCGCCTATATGGACGACTTACCCGACCAGGCCAACTCGGAATACCATAGGCGAATTAGAACTAAAAGAAATAAACCTAGCAAGCTAAAAGCATAGCAAAGTGACGAAGCAATCAGCTTTGTAGCGGTTTCTAACGGTTGCCGTTGAGCAATCAGTTTCAAAATAGGAGGTTCAGATGCCTGGGTGATCAGTAATCGATTGCTGAAAACAGAATTTGAAAATTCAAAACCGTTCTCGAGATAATCGTGGGACAGACGGACAGACATCGTGAAATCAATAAGTAACTTCGCAAGCTTCGCCACTTAATAATTTGTTTACATCACAAGAGTTTCCCCGCAATATGATGCCATAGGAGAATACCGAATGAGCATGTGCATAGTAAGCCGCAAGGGCAGTCTGAAAATCTGTCACACGTTTAAGGTATTGTAGAGCGTAAATAAAAGAGGGATATTTTTTACAACTTTTTGTATGTGCTGTTTCTAACCCAAATGCGTATCCAGGTCTATCAGCCTATAAAAGTCTAGTGGTGAACATAGGCAATCTTCATATATTGTATCATAGAGAGGATTTTGTTATAGTTGGCCTGGCAGAAAAATATGGGGTAGTGCATATTATTCTTACAACGCCACTACACGGACAATCATATTAAAATATTAAAGACAAATACATACATTTTATAATTATTTGGGTTATAAATAACGAGGTAATTCTAAGTTTATATTTCTTCCTAAATAGAAATACAACCTATTTGACAGATTTTTTAAAATTTATATTATGGATATTTTTTATAGAATAAGGGTGACGAACGAGTGCACAGTCCACCTAAGAGTAAGGAGATGATGTGGCTCATAAACATCTACATTTATCTTCAATTAAGAATCAAAATGCAGATGCGTTGTCACCCCTGAGGACTAAGATCGAATCTAGTAAAAAGAGTCTCCGCCTCTCTACATTCACCAAACTAAACACAGCAGCTTTAAGCTGTTATTTTACTATATTATGTGAAAGCGTGGTCCTTCTTGGCAGAACCGAGCCATTCGTAATACAACCATAATATAGCTGCAGCGTGGTACCACTTGTAACACCAGCAATAATAAGGATTTTTGACTTCCATCATTGTCACGCCATAAATTACATGAATATCTATTAATTCTGCTGTTCTATCGTTAAATAATGATTTGAAAATGCTAAACACAATACAAATCAGATTAGACTGTATGCTTTACGACTTTTGCCTAGCTCTAATTAGCAAATCGTAATCGTAACAAAAAAAATTGAATACGTGTCCCTTTTTGGTCTCTCCTAGCTTGCTACCACAAACTAGTAAGAAGTGCTAGCGCACTTGCTACATATATATTTATCTATGGTCTCTCCGCTCTTTGATTTTGTGATGAGCACAGGATAATATGATCAGTGATATTTATTATTTACGGCTGATCGTAACTAAGGGCGCCTATGCACTACACGGTGATTTTACTGTCATGCCATGATGCCAGTGGTTCCTCTGCTGCGCCGTCCTATTATGTTTTTGGGCTAAATCAAATTTAAATAATTAAACTTTACCGACCGATGTATTTTTACAACCCACAAGCACTTGAATTGTAATAATATATAGATATTATTGTTCTCATGTAAATGACAATTGCCTAAATGAGAAATAAAGTTCTTTAAACCGAACTTCAAAGAAGTAAAAATCTACTCCAAAGAACTAAATGAGAATAATAATAAATAATTTCCACATAAAATGTGGAAACTATATTAATCGCATTTTATTTTATTTTTGTGTTCGAAGAGAATAGAATAATTTTTACTAAATGAAAAAAATGTAAAATAATTTATTGATTTACAATGATACAATTTAAAGCAAGTGCAAGGACCCATGAACTAGGTTGGTAACCTGTATTACTGGCATACCATGTTTGTCCTCAGAGGTGACAGTACATCGGTAGCCTTCTTTGTTTGAAGCTGGCTGTAGATGTAAGTTCGTTTCTCGCCTCCGTTTTATAAACTTTACAATATTAATCAATAAATAACAAAAAAGGCAAGGCAAGCGCTAGCATTAGGGAGTAATGTAATTTGTAATATAATAATATAAGTGTGTGTGTGTGTGCGCGCGCGCGTGTATATTGTGGGTACTAAATATAGATTACAAGAATACTTATTGAAAGTTATTTAAGTTTTACCACTGGATCGAAAAAACCTTTGTCCTGGGCAAAAGAACCAGCAAGAAACTCAGCGGAATTTTTTATTAAACATTATATTTTATATAATATTTATACAAAAAAAATGAAATAAAATGTATGAAAACATTCAAAAATAACTTGTTTGCGATCACCTCATTATTAGGGGCTATTATCAATCATGTACTCTTTATTAGTATCATAACACTTGTTAAACAATTATTCCTTAATAAAAATTTGAAACTTTTTGTTTGATAGGTCCTGCATATTTTCTGGGATTTTGTTGTATAAGCATATACATTGGCCCATAAAGGAATTACTGACTCTTTGGAGTCGAGTGACTAAAATAAATAGTATGTACTTGTTCCTGGTATTTACAGAGTATACTATTTTTAATGAAACTATTTTTGTTGTTACATATACATATACCTACATAAAATTTTCGTAAATATATTGAGAGGCCAAAGTTAATATATTTCTTTCCTTAATTTTTTCTTCTTTTTGTTGCATTACCCTAGAGCAAGATTCCATATTATGACATTATAATATAGAAATAACTAACAAACTAATCTAGGTATTTTTAGTTTTTACACGTGTAAGATCTCTAATATTTTTTTACAGCAAATGCTGCAAAACTAAATTTGCTACCTAGTTTAAACATATGAAGGCCACATTAAAGCTTTGCTTCAACTCTAATTCCTAGGAAAACATTTAAATGTAAACTGTTGTTGCAGTTAACATTTGGTGTTGTAAATGAAATATATTTAATTTTATATCCATTTAAAAGAAAAATTTTAACGTTAAACCAGTGTACATATTTTGATATGTCATTAATACTCACTATGATATATCATTAGTTACTTCGGTTGTCACTTTTTAATAAAAGATTAATTTTATATCTTTTTGGGTATACTTATTAATTTCACAAGCTAAATGGAACAACCAAATTATCGATAAAAACTTACATGAAACTTTCACCCTTTGTTTTTCCAACCTTTGGGCGAAAGAATGAAGGAAGTTTTTCCTATTTTTTTAAATAGGTGTCATAAAAATTAGAGACACAGACTGAGTATTTATACACTTACAAACTCGATCCAGGATGTGAAAATAAAATACTCGGACGGTAAAATTATGGATAGTATATAGTACCCAGATCAGAGCGTAAAAAATGAAAATTACGGACGGTAATTTTACAGTGTAGTACAGAAGCAACCTAAAGTGAAAAGTGTAACAGTGAAGTATATTAAAATACTATATCGTATTATTTACCTGTAATAGACATAGACACAAACTAATATGATGCTTACGTATGACATAGACCAAGTAATATATATAGGGCGTTAGAGTAGAGACTAGAGACTACAGCCAAATCTCTTTGATCGCGACGTGACGTTTTATTTTACAATACTTGTACTCCATTTCAATTGCGCTTCAATTTGTAATAATTGCATCAGTTTGCTCTTGGGATAAGTGTTTGCGTTTTTAACACCAAGTTTCCATATTATTTCCATAAATATATCAAGAAGTTGTTTTGTTGCGTGGCGCTATAATAAAAGAATAATTAAATAATGACTCCGAATATTCAAACATTTATAAATAGTTTTCAAAATCGGCTGTGAGTATAATTTAAATGATTTATTTTACATTATATCAAAACATTATGCACATAAAAGATGTAATTATTTGTACCCTAAGTGAACTTTGAACTGACTTGTCACAGATTTTTCTACGCTATTCTCGAAGGACTGAATTTGTTTGTTCATGACTTGTGATTGGAAAAATGTCAATTATTAAAGAGTTGTTTTAAAATTTTTGTCGATTGTGTCTATTGCAGCTATAAGTTATAATAATTAATTGTGATATGCACACGCTATTATAATGGCTTCAGAATAATAATGCAGTAAATAGTGACTAAAGATGACGTCCTAGTTGCTAATTTCTTACCACTGCAACAATTCTAGAAGATGGATTTGTACATTTGTATTCACGTTTTTCATTTACTTTTTTTGTGATCACAGCTGTGCAGGTCTAATATGGCTATATCACTGCGATACATTTGTATTAGGCTTAACTGTACAAAACCTTCAATTGTTTTGAAGGTTCGGACTTCAATGAGGGATAAATGTTTTTATGAAGTAAAGCTATGCTGCAAATTTATTATGGTTGTAGTAAGAATGGGTTGGCTTAACCAGAGAAAGGACCACACTCATTGCAGCTAAATGCTGCTGTGTTTTGAACAGTGAGTATAGAGAACCGGACACACTTTTTACTGGAAATAAGACATTACATGTTAGTCCTTAGGAGTGAACATATTTGCATTTTGATACTTAATCAAGGATAGATGTTGATATGTCTTTGAGCCACAATATCCACTTTTCATCAGGTGCATTATGTGCTTGTTTGTCACCCTGATTCTATTATAAAATATTTTTAGTCTACAGATATACATTTTTAAAATTATTTACTTGACATTCAATTTTTTTTAGATTCAGAACACTGATATTTTTATTTAAAGATTAAGAATCCACTAACAATCTATCTATAAATCTATATAAATAAAATGAGATATATAGAGGTTTGCAGTTGTGCGTGCATCACGGAAATACTACTGGATATATTTCAATTAGGTTTTCTAAATTTTATTTCCCAGACACTGCCCTTATTTAAAAAAAATATTATTGTGATATCTTCATTAATATAAAGTTTCAAGAAAACAATGTTTTTATATGGGTTTTTTTGCTTGCTCTCATGTTACTAACCCAGATAATTTATATATTTTTGCTGCAAACCGAGCAACAAGTAGTATTGTTTATAAAGAAATTTTGTTAGCAAAGTATATTTTTGCTTAAAATTAAAATTTGTTAATTAAGATATCATGTAATATATACATATGTATAAAAAAGGACAGACAGTCAAATTGACACTTCCTTATTTGCTAAATTAACAGCACAAGAATATAAAACAGTAGAATGAAAGCTTCATATTACTGCCTTGTGCGAGATCACTACTACTTATATGTGACTTATCACCGACTTTGTGCAGGGTGCATGCACCGGCGCCTGCTAGGGGACAAACCGGTTTGACTTCTCTCAATGAGTGGACAAAGTTAAGGTGTGCCACTGGCAGTGACACAATGGTGTGGATGTTTAGTTTTGGTTTTAAAGATGCTAAACAATTTTTTATTTTTAAACAAATTCATCATATGATAAAGCGAAATAATAAACTACTATAAACCAAGCAAAATAGGAACAAAAAGTACTAAGAGTGTAAATTCTATAGATACTGAATTGTTTGAATAAAATATTTTGATATTAATAATTTTTTTAAATTTCTAACACCAAAATGTGGGACCTACTCAAGTTTAATCATACATAAACAAACATTACATATTACATAGTCTTTATTGATTATAGTAAAGCGTTCGATTCTCTGATACACTCTAAAATCTGGGAAGCCTTAAAGGAACAGAACATAGAACACAAATATATAAGGATTATAAAAAACATTTATAGACATAGTTCGGCATGTATCCAACTAAAAAAATAAGGGAAGTATGTTTCAAATATAAAAAAGCGTTAGACAGGGGGACTCCCTCTCACCAACACTTTTTCTGGCTGTATTAGAAATGATCTTCAGGAACCTAGAATGGAGAGACTTAGGCATAACCATTAATGACCGCACGCTAACGCACTTACGATTCGCGGATGATATAGTATTATTTGCAAAAACACCAGATGATCTAAGCAAAATGATTAATGACCTAGCATTAGAAAGTGCAAAGGCCGGATTGAAATTAAACCCAGAGAAAACAAAAATCATGACCAAACAAAGATCCTGTAACAGTGGAACAGACTCAAATCTCCTATACTGAGGAATACATATATCTGGGTCAACTGATATCTCCAGAAGATAATATAAATAAAGAAGTCGAAAGAAGAATTGTGAACAGCTGGAAAAAATACTGGGGCCTAAAAGACTTAATGAAAGATAAGAATCTACACATTTCAACAAAAAGCAAACTATTTAACACATGCATCCTGCCTGTATTGGCATATGGAAGTGAAACATGGGCTTTAACAAGAAACATATCAAACAAACTCTCCATATGCCAACATGCCATGGAAAGGATCTATATATGGTAGGGATCAAAAGAATGGACAGAATAAGAAATAGCAGCATCAGAAACAAAACTAAGGTCCAGGATATAACTCTAAAAATAAGAAGACAAAAATGGAAATGGACAGGCCACTTGATCAGAGGAAAAGACAAATGGAGCAAAATAAAAACACAATGGTACACAAGGGATGGAAAAAGAAGGAGCAGTTGACCACAGAGAAGGTGGGATGACGATATCAGACAAGTCGCAGGAATTACATGGGGTAGAGTGGCCATAGAAAGGCCAGAATGAAGAAGATTGGAGGAGGCCTTTGCCACCTGGCAAACGGACACACAAAAATGGAACAAAAGAAAAATATATGAATAACAAAGAAATACTATTTTTTTGTCTGATTAAAGGCTTAATATTATTATTATTATTCAGCAGCTGTACATTTCTTAAGAGTTTAAATTGAATTGCAGTGAAAATCTATAAATCTTTAATATTTTAAAGAACAAAAGTAATAATTAAACAAATTAAATAAAAAATAAAACTTCTTTGTCATCTTCGTTGCCCTGAATTGTTTCCAGACCTTCCAGAATTTCTGTCTTCTCAGTTGTCTTTCTCAGTCATAATCATTATAGAAAAATAAGTATTTAAAAACTTAAACACATTTGAAAGATAATATACTTAATTATTTTTCTACTTAAAATCTACTTTCAATAAATTAAGATATACAATAAGTATTTCATTTAATGAGTTTTTAGTTACAAAAAGTAGGTACTTAAATGTTATTGAATAAGTATATTAAAAATATGTAAAGTTATTAAATACAATGTATTAAGTGATCTCTGACAATCCTTATCCTATAAAGAAAAATATTCAAAGTCAATGAAATTCAAATGAAAAAATATACATACATTAATATACTAATCAACAAATTTACCCTTTTTTAATTGAATGATCAAAACAATGATATAAAAGATAATATTATGTGCAGAGTTGTCCCAATAGTAGTGATCTATGGCTTAGCATTTACGTTTGCGAAGTGAACACAAAACATGGAAGTATTACTTTAAGAGAATCAAGCGCTCAAGATGGCACAGAATTTCAAACAAACACACCACATTGAAATCTCATTGTTTATTAGCCAGCAGTTGATTATATTTTATTATGATTTTTGTCACAAACAAAAGTTGCCCTTATATCTCGATAGATGGTTTCAATTGCCATACAACATATAAGTTGCTTACTTTATGTGACGCCACTCCTCGCTCGGGAAGTTTTAATGTACTACTAAGATGCAAATTATCAAGTGCAATAATCAGTTATAGTATTTAAAACAACCTTCGAAAATTGCCGAAAATAGCTTTCATGTTATAACTTAGTATGTTGCTACAGAAAAAAGTAAGGTGTGTAAAAATGAGTAGTAATATAAATCATAAAATTATCATTATTGTTAGTTAGGCAGAAAAACATTGTTTGGGTGGCATAAACACCATCCCCATAGGCTCAATGGCACAATTTTATTTTAAATAGAAATAATATGAGAATTAGTATTGTACACTCATATGAAAACTAATTCAAGTATTTTTTTAACTAAAAGTGATTTACTTTCATGGTTGATAGTGTTGTCTATACAGTTTTTCACGAGAAAAAAATATTTTGAGACTGACCCTTTTAATATTTCAGGGAACCACCAGTTCGACAACATCTGAAAAATGTCTATGGCACACTAATGATGACTTGTGCATCTGCATCAGCTGGGGTGTTTGTAGACATGTACACAAGTTTCCAAGCTGGATTTCTATCTGCTATTATTGGAGCAGGTCTTATGTTAATGCTAATTGCTACTCCAGACAATGGAAAAAATACAAAGTTACGCTTGGGATATTTACTAGGATTTGGGTTAACATCTGGTAAGTTTTAAAATAAACTGCTAAATTAGCAAATTGACTTTCTACAATCTTTATGTGAAATAGAAAAGTATATTACATTAATGAAATCAATTCATGTGACTTAAAATTGAGTCAATATCTTCCTATTCATTTATATAGATTTCTATTACCATTAACAATTGTAAAAAATAACCCTGTTGATCAGATAATAAAGTAAAGTTACAGCTATATACTTCCTTTATACCTTCCTATATACTTCCCAGTGCAGGGCATAGGCTTCCTTTGCTCCAGTGCGTGTTGGCGGAATTCAGATGTCTTCAAAATATATTAATTCTCTCTGATACATAGGTTTCTTCACAGTGTTTTCTTTCAATGCCGCGCATATGGCAAATTAACTTTTACAATTGCAATTAACAATTTCATTGGTTTACTTGTGTACTGTCAATTTTTTTACAGGGAGCGTTTAATACCTCTTTAATATTCATGCTTAAGTATATTTGTATTGGTATTAAATTTTGGTTTTTCCTTTGCAGGCATAGGTTTGGGCCCATTATTCGAGTATGTTAGTTTTGTTGAACCATCCTTAATTATGACTGCTTTGTTGGGTACCACTTTAGTGTTTGTATGCTTCTCTGTTGCGGCTATGCTTGCTGAACGTGGAAGTTGGCTGTTCCTTGGAGGCACCTTGATGACATTACTTACTTCAATGTCTGTCATGGCACTAGTGAATATATTCACGCAGTCTTACTTCTTATATCAAGTAAGTTAAATATGATTTTACTGTAAATATCTACGCAGAATGGAGGCCAAGAAGTATAAAATTGTGCACAAAATTGTATTTTTATCTCAATATATTAGATGTTGATAGATTGTTCACATAACATGTTAATGCTAATTAAAAACGATTAGTCGAACACACTTCTCAAAAAATATAGGCATCGCACTCTTGGCCTCATTATCACTCGCAATTTTCTTTTACCCAAAGCTCTTTTCATTTTTTATTATTAAAATTACTAGGGGTTTAATCTGGGTAAGGTGGGATTTTCAAAGTTCAAAGCTCATTGTTTATACAGCAGATATTGTAAACTTTTGTCTTGCAAAAGCAGCGGACCATTATTTAATTTTCCTCTTCTTTTTTCCTTTAAGACGCTATTACAATATCATAGTTTTATTAGTAATAAGATGTCAATTTCTCTCATCATATTTTGTGATAGTGATAGCTGTTAGTCAAATATACATATTACACTATGATCAGAGTAAATTAATTGCAAGTGAACTTTGATCAAAGTTATATGAAGATCTGATCATTTAGTTATATTAATTTACGCCTCGTTTGTGTTAACTATGTAGATGTTTAAATAGTAGTATACTGTACTTGCTATGGGAACGGTTTAAAGAATGCGGTTGCAGTAATGTGTTTTATTATTTAATGAATTACGACAGACATAAAAGTCGGTGTTGATAAAGTGTAACATCATATTAACATTTTCCTTACACTAGCTAGTATACAGTAACAAAAATTATTTGATCTATTATAGGCTTACTAGCTGTACCCGCGACTTCGTTCGCGAGAAATTAATACTTTTGTTATGATAAGATTTATTTGTTCCTTAATTGTCATGAAGACCTGTAAAGACACTATTCTGTATAAAACATTGATTTATTCATACAATCAGACTAATGAACAAACCAACAGATGGATACACAAATGAACCTTTGGACGGACGCAAAAACGAAAGAAATATAATCACTGCAAGCTTTTACTTTAGATCAGGGTTTCCCAACCTTTTTTTTTACCAGGGACCACTTTGATTTTTTTGTAGACCACAAGGTGAAAGAAATATCTAAAAATAATTTATAATCACAACTATTAAACTAATGTGAAGCAGTGTTGCACTGCCCGCGTGACGAGAAATTAATAAATGTGTTATTTAAAACGATTAGGTAGGTAAAATATTTAAATCCTTGATCCAACCAGTGGTGGGTGGCAATGTATCTGCATTTCACAGCATCCACTTACCATCAGGTGACTCGTGGATGACGTACGAGGCAAGAGGAGATTCTGTTATGAGCCGTGTTATACGCCGTGTAATGGCGGCATAAATTACGATAATATTAGTAGTAGTCAGGAGGTTGCCGCACCACCATAGTTGTGCACCAATATTAATAGTCAGAAGTGCCGAGGAGTATATTTTTGTAGTTCAAAGAAATTTTATTTTAAGTAATGTAAATTTTTCTTATTTTAGGGGACATTGTATTTAATTAAATATGTACATTGGAAATAATAGCTTTTATATTCATGGTTTATATGTTTTTCTATTTATATTCTGTGTGAAATACCTATATTGAGTATATATACCTATATACACCCCATATATATATTTTTAATAGGTGTGGACTAAATTATTTTATTAGTTTATCTGTTTATTATATTTTCAAAATACAAAATATGTTATTTCATTGAATTATTTAATTTTTTAGTATGAATATATAAGTAATATAATAAAATCGAAAATTATATTAGTTATTATGAATTCACGATAATTTATAATGATTGATATGTAATTTCAGGCTCACTTGTATCTTGGATTGGTCCTGATGTGTGGATTTGTGTTATTTGACACACAATTAATAATTGAGAAACGTCGCATGGGTAACAAGGACTTTATTCAACATGCACTCGAATTGTTCATTGACTTCATTGGAATATTTAGAAGACTGCTCATCATTTTAACTCAGAAGGTGAGGTTTAATATTCGTTTTCCCATATTATGATTTAATATAGAAAAAAACAGTTACTCGGATTGCAACAAGAAATACTACATATCAAGTTGTAAAAATAATAACAGCAGCTGAGCATGTTATTTAAAATACAAAAATTAAAAATTTAATTCTGGATGGACATATTTGGCAACACTACTGGCTTGTAAGGAAGGTTGGAAGTCGTTGAGTGAGCGTGCGAGATGAATCATAATGACTTGAAAAAACTATAAACTATCAATTAAATAAAACTAAGTAATATCTATCTGATGATAAAGTGATGTATTCAATAATAGGTTTACACATATCCTTTTAATATAATATCTCAAATGAAAAACAAATTAAAGTTAATTTATAATATAATTTGCTTTTGCAGGAAGAACAAAATCGTCGTCGCAAGCGTGACTAGACAATCACAATATTAAAAACAAGAAGAAGCAGAAATATAGTGTTTTGGGAATACTTTATATATTATTACATATTCATATTCGTTAACTTCTTTGTTTATAAAATTATTGTTTCTTAAATAATAAACTATATTATATTCGTGTAAATGTTTGGTTTTATTTACTTCTGTATAATAACCTGTTACTTTTTATTTCGTCAAGACTGATATTGAATTTTATGTTATATATTAATAATAACACTTTAGTAATAATATTTCATGCCTCACTTTCAAGATTAAGTAACAGACACGCGTACACTGGCGCCATTTACAAAATAAGTTTATAAAATATGATATAGGTAAATAGTTCGTATATTTTGTGCGGTGAGTGGTCCTGGAATGACCACAATACTTTATAATTTTGGTGATTGGCTCCATTATGCTAAAATATAGGTTTTAGCTTATATCATGGATGTTATCCTTTTTATGATAAATATTTCTTATATAGGTAGTATATAATTTAAAATTTTGTACAACCGACCTCAATATACATTATTAGGGAGAACTCAAAAACTGTTGGTCAGACCTTGATCAAATTTATATGGGACCACATGAGAAGCACCAGCTTTCAAATAAAAAAGAATCATCTAAATTGATTCACGTAGAACAAAATTATGAGGTAACATACATTAAAAAAAACAGTTGCATTGAGTACCTCCTCCTTTTTGAAGTCCGTAGAAAATAGACACGTTGTTAAATTATTTAATATTGTATTAAATGAAAATAAATATTGTTACTACTATTTGATACTTTATGGTATTCTTGCCTGGTTGGAATGTATATAGATATACGTGGAAATGCCTCACTTTAGATATATTATGGTGGTAGCATGAATAGGTTGGCTTGACCGAGGAAGGACCCTTACGGATTACCAGCGTAAAATAGTTGCTTAATGCTACTGTTTCATATGGTGAGTGTAGTCTCAAAAATATATATAATTTATGGTGTAGAAAAGCGGAGATCTTAGTCCTCAGGGGTGACAAAGTATCTTCATTTTGATTATTCTGTGGGCCACAGCATCCACTTACCATCAGGTGGACTGTGTGCTCGTTTGTCACCCTTATTCAAAAAAATGTCCAACCCTAAGAGAATAAAAGGGATTACGTTTTTACAGTAACTATTGTTGGTATCTAAACTAGCGGCTCGAAAGGTTATTTTTTTAATTTAATAAAGCGCTACACAAGACCGCGCGTCGATCTCCGATCAGAGAGTTTGTTTTCAGAGAAAATCCATGTCTGTGGAGATAAACTAGAACAGTGTAAAAAAAACGTTAAAAGATATTCTAGGTATCAAGAAAATATAGACACCAAAACAGCATTTACAAGTTAACGTGTAATTTATTTTCGAGGTTTCAAATAACAGGACTTTCAATGGACACTTTTTATTATCCATTTGAAAAATACCAAGATACGTTACTTTATCAAACTATAAAGAAAACGACCGTTTGGCTTGCCTATATTTCAGAAATAAAAAATAAAAAAATCAAGGAATGTACTACCTATTCTCTAACGATAGACCGTAATCTTTACCGCAAATTTATGGCTAATATCATATATATATCAGGGTCTTTAGTCCACTCAAAAGTGTGAAACAAATTAAACTTAATAAAAAGTCAAAGCCGACTTCAAACAATTAAAAAGATAAAATAATTTCCGTATAATAGCTTCTAAATTCGATGTTGAGACATAATGTATAGAAGAATGCCACAAAAACGTAACTTGTAAAAAAAGTCAATTTATTTATTTAAAACTTAAAAGATTTTTGATATTGATATGGTCACTATAAGATTTTGTTAGGTTAGCTAATTACGTAATAATTTAAGACAGAAGGACCCTTAAGTAGGGACTGAATAAATTAACCGACTTGGTATTACATGGATCTCACAACTTTACGGTAGAAGAACTGAGTTGCGAGACTTGGCTTTTTTTACAAATTATGTTTTGATGGCATCTCATTTCTTTTTGTAGATAGTTATATCTAGGTACCTATTTACACCTATTAATCCATTATATTATACATATTATATAGGAAACAGAAACAAACTTTTTTATTCAATATAGATTATAAATAATACTTATTGAGTCACTCTTTTGTATGATTACCACTGGTTCGAAAAAAAAACCTCTGTCCTGGGAAGAACCAGCAAGAAACCCAGCGGAACTTTTTTTTTAAATAACAGCTTACAATCATGTATGTTACACAAATTAACAACACAACAAATTAGAAATAGCTTGGTAGCGATCACCTCATTTCCAGGGGTTATTATTATCTATAAATTCCTTAATATTATAATAATCCTTTTTATACAAACTTAGTTTAATAAAGTTTTTGAACTTTGAGCAGGTCAAATTTTGTATATTTTCTGGAATTTTGTTGTAAAAGCGTATACAGCGCCCCAAGAATGAATTACTGACTCGATGGAGTCGAGCAGTCGAGTAACTGGTACTACTAGCTTGTGTCTGTTCCTAGTATTTACAGAATGAATATCACTTATTTTTGTAAAACTACTTTTATTTTTGTGTACGTACATTACATTTTCATAAATGTATTGAGAGGCCAAAGTTAATATATTTTTTTCCTTAAATTTTTGTCGCAGCGACTCTTTCGGCTTTAAATCATAAATTGCTCTTATGGCCCTCTTCTTACTTACTTACTTACTTATCTTCACGCACAATCCCTGACGGGGTAGCCAGAGAGAACAGATCGCCAAGTGTCACGATCCTTACATACCTCTTTCGCTTCTTTCAGATTAATTATCTTCTTCATACATGCACGTCTAGGTATCCGAGTACTCTTGACCCTACCCTCTTCGAGCAATTTGCTCACATGGTCTTCAAAAGTTAGTCTCGGTCTACCTCGACACTTTCGCACTATATATTTTCTTCACCATTCGGTCTTCACTCATTCGCTCAACGTGCCCAAACCACCGAAGCACGCCCTTATCAATTTTTGTGATAAGGTCATCTTTCAAACCTGCCATATTGCGAATCTCTTCGTTTCGCTTTCGGTCGGCCATGGTAACGCCGCACATTTTACGAAGAGATCGCATCTCCACTGCATTCAACTTGCTTTTATGCTTCTTCTGGTATACCCAGGTTTCGCTGCCATATAACAAAGTCGGTACCAACACTGCGTTATGTATTGCAAGGCGTGCACTCTTCACTACGCCTTGCCTTTTGACTAACGCAGTCAGGGCACCATTGACTTTGTTCCCGGCAGCGACACGCCTGTCCACATCTAAATCACATCTTCCATCCCGGCTAAAAGCACTCCCCAAGTATACAATTTCATTTACTTGTTCTAGACATTCCTGATTTACCCATATTTCACACTTCGTTCTCTCTTCGTCCCTTTCAAATACCAGAACCTTAGTTTTATTAGCGTTCAAACGGAGACCCTTAATTTCACATTCCTCTTTCATACACGTGACTAATGCCTGCAGTTCTGCCTCTGATGGTGCAATAAGCACTGCATCATCAGCATATAGCAGACAATTTACTTTTATGTCACCCAATTTCACACCCAAACAGCTGTCGAGATACAGTATGAACAGCCAGGAAGACATGACACAACCCTGTTTTACGCCCGTTTGGACGCTAAACATGTTTGACAGGTCATGCCCTACCCGCACACAGGCTTTACAGTCACAGTAAAGAGACTGCACAGCCCTTAGCAATCGACCATCCACACCATACCCCGGCAACAGTTCCCACATTTTCTTCCTTACAACCTTATCAAATGCTTTCTCAAGATCCACAAAAGCACAGAAAATCTTCTGGTTAGCAGCCAGAAGCTTTTCCGTGATCATGCGGAGAGAAAACATTTGATCCGTGCATCCTCTTCCAGGTCTAAATCCGCATTGTGCCTCCCATAGAAATCTTTCCGATTTGTCTTGCATCCTACGTGTCAAAACCTTCGAGTAAACTTTACTTGCTAAACTGGTCAAGCTGATCGCCCGATAGCACCCGCAGTCAAAATGTGAACCTTTACCTTTATATAAAGGCACAATGACTGCGGATCGCCAATCATCCGGGACATCCCCCGTCCGCCAGCACAAATTGCACAGCAGATGAAAGCTGTCCCAGACGCGAGACCCACCATACTTGACCATTTCAGCAGTAACTCTGTCTAGTCCCGCAGCCTTACCACATTTCAATCTCTTTCATACTGATGACCTCAGTGTCATCGAGGTCCGGGTCTGGCGTACCAGTCACGGCGTCATCCCCGGATCCCTCACTAAGATCATCACACGCATACATTTCTCTATAAAATTCGCTCCATCGCTGCATGACGTCCGATTTTTCTGAGAGGACGTCATTAGTTCTCGAAAGCACTTTGTTCATTCTTAAGGCCGTCGCATCACTTCGGGTCCTTCCAACCTCTTTCCAGAAGAGTTTGGAGTTCTCCTTAAAGTTGTGCGACATCCTTTCGTCCGCTTCCATTCTACACCTTTCACGCACTTCCTCAATCAATGCTTTCGTGTGAACTTTCTGCAGCCTATATCTTTCTTTCATCTTCTCTCTCATATCCTTATCATTACTAGAGGCCAAGTAGTCTAACCATGCTTTCTTCTTCTTCTTTACAGCTTCTTTCACTTCATCATTCCACCATGCATCTCTTCTTTTACTACTGCCTCTTTTTATTGTTCCACACACTTCTTCCGCTGCACTTACCATTCCATCCCTAAGGTTCTGCCATGTCCTTTCTACACATTCGTTTCTGCCATCGATGGTGTCAAGCTTTTCGGCTACCCTCGCATGATATTTGTCCCTAGTATCCGCTTCCTGAAGCTTCCAGTTTCGGATGCGACAGACCGACTGTGGTTCTGTCACTGCCGTCCGGTAGCGCCAACCCGCGAACAGACCCCTAAATCTAGTAATCACTAGATAGTGATCCGTTCCCAGGTCAGCACCCCTGAACACTCACGTATCCATAACCTGTTTTCGCAGTCGGTCATCCACCAG